ATGGATGGATAGGTGGGTGGGTGGGTGGGTGGATGGATGGATACGTGGATGGGTGCGTGGGTGGGTGGGTAGGTGGATGGATGGATAGGTGGGTGGGTGGGTGGGTGGATGGATGGATACGTGGATGGGTGCGTGGGTGGGTGGGTAGGTGGATGGATGGATAGGTGGGTGGGTAGGTGGGTGGATGGATGGATACGTGGATGGGTGCGTGGGTGGGTGGGTAGGTGGATGGATGGATAGGTGGGTGGGTAGGTGGGTGGATGGATGGATGGATTGATACGTGGGTGGGTGCGTGGGTGGGAGGGTGTACATGCGGATGGATAGAATACAGTAGAAAAAAAGGAATGGAATGGAACAGAACAGAATAAGGAAAGAAGGAAGGAGAATGGAATGGAATGGAATAGAGTTCTTTATTGGCCAAGTGTGATTGGACATACAAGGAATTTGTCTTTGGTGCAGATGCTCTCAGCTTATATGTGTGGGAGGGGGGGGGGGGGTGGATGGATGGATGGATGGATGATATGCCACCAAGCTGCTGTCAATTCCTAGCAACCACACAGAGGTTCTCCAATTATAATTTGTCCCTAAACTTCAAGTCTTCCAATGGCTTACCACCACCACCATGAGTCCATCCATCTTCCTGCTGACCATCTCTTCTCTTCCTTCCACCTTTCCCAGCCTTAGAACCTTCTTCAAAGAGCTAGGTCTCCACATCTTATGTCCATAGTAGGAGAATTGGGTTGACTTTTTGGGCGATCCATTAGTTTCTTGGCTGTCCACGGTCTTCTCACGAGGATTACCCAAAGTTCAAAGGCATCAATTCTCTTCCTGCCCTACTTATTCAAAGTCCAACGTTTTTCAGCGCTGTTGTAACTTTGAATGGCCACTAAATGAACTGTTGTATGCCGAGGACTACCCGTAGGTGGCCAGGTCACTAATGAGAGATCCTTCCTTCCCGTAAGGGTTGCTGAAGACGTTAAACACAACCTTTGAGGAAATGGAAGTGGTCAGCCGAGCTGGCTTGGGGATGCTGAAGTTTGTGGACGCCGTCATGAGTTACTGTGATGTGGCCAAAGACGTCAAACCCAAGAGAGAAAAGGTAGGATAGAAAGAAAAGATGGAGAGGAGGAAGAGGAAGATCCAGCCGGTTCTTCTCTGAAAACTCTCGCTGGAGGCTTCAGCTGGGTGATGGTGGCGGCACAACCAAGGTATCCACCACCTTCCGCTGATTTCTAGATGCGCTTCACATCTTGAAGGCCTCCAGCCTCGGCCCCTGCTGAGTTTTCTCCTTCTTCTCCCACTTCGTAGGTGGCCAGGCTGGAGCGGAACTTCTTCTTGAGCAAACGGGAACTGGAGAAGATCCAGGCAGAGCTGACGGCCATCCAGAACGAGCTGAAAGCCCTGGGAGATAAGTACGAGGCAGCCATCAGGGAAAAACAGCAACTCCAGGAGGAAGCGGAGATCATGGAACGCCGGCTGATTGCAGCAGACAAGCTGATCTCCGGCTTGGGATCGGAAAATATCAGGCAAGGGGGTGCCCCGTTTACCTGGCTCGTGTTACGGGGAGGATGGGGAGATCTAGGAAGTTGAAGAGGGGGAGATAAAGGTTTCAGCTCCAGGGGTTTTTAAGCAGGAACTTCAGAGATGACTTTGGTTCTGACCCAGGCTTCCTTAACCAGCATGAAGCTTGGTCCCGGCAAAACCCCTTTTATTTACACGACTGTGAATTCCTTTCATTCACAGTCAGCAAAGCTTCAGCAAACAGCCTTTCCGAGGAATGTTTATCCACACGAACCTTATCTCGCTTGGAGAGCTGCCAGATAACTAGTTTCCAAACTAGCAGGGCAAGGCACAACTTGGCCCAGAATCTCTTGGCCCAGAGTCTCTTATAGTCACAAACTGAACTTTCCGCTCTTGAAACGACCGAAGGGATGAATTGCCCCCTCCCCGTTCGCTCCTCTGTTGTTTCCTATGGGAGGGGCCATTCACCGTCCAACTGTGGCTTTACTCCCAAGTCGATCCTGCTTTCCTCGCTGTTCTTGTCTTCTGGCAGCTCTGCGCATGCGCACACTGGGAACAGGCTCCAGCTGTTCCTCTGCCTCGCTGCTGTCTAGCTCCCTCTCTGGCTCTGACGCGGAGCCCTCATCTGAGCTTCCCTCAACCCTCA